GGCGGGACTAATTTGCATATTCATAGATCAGCGTATAGTAAATGAGGCAAGGGTGTGTAGAGTTACATTCAAGCTATTTTAAGGCATGAGAAAATAATTTTCACAAGAAAAAACATTTAAATATGTAATTTTGATGATCAAAGATAAGTTTTAAGGGATCAAATATTTGACTACAGGGGGACTTTAATATCCTAATGATTTTTGACATAAAAGAAAAATCAATAATTGTGACCCATACAATGTATTTTTGGCTATCGCTACAAATATAGCCCAGAGACTTAAGACTGGTTTTGTGGTCCAGGGTCACATATAATAACCATCACCCTCCCTTGGGTATCTCATGCTCTCATTCTTGCCGTGATGAGTGAATGAAAGGGGCGTTACATGTGGTGAAGCTGAACGATGCAGCTGTCACTATCCATAAGGAAAATCCATATGATAAGAGCAGTAAGACATTACGCTTACCACCCTGTTTAACTGCTTAATTAGTACTCCGTCTTTTCTTAAAAAGTGTCAGAGACAGCTCAGTCAGGGTGTCTGATTGGTCAAAAGTGGTGTCCTGTAGTTCAATATCGTGCGCTAATGTGACGAGGCGAGAGTAAATGGAGCTATCGATGTCGGTGGAGTTTTATGTGGCTCGTATCCAAAGCGTAGCCGTTATCAGCCCTGTTAAGCACAAAGGTAATTTGATTGGTTGACATGGAGCATGGGTGTGCAGGGAGGGACATGTGTCTGCAACCAGTGCAGAATGGGCGGAAATGCCATAAAGCTCCTAAATATATGGAGTTTAATTGTGCTGTAGCTCTAACGGGCTCCGTCCGCAGGTCTAATATGTCTCACTGGAGTGGTGACGGTCTGCTGGTGTCGTTGTCATTAGTCTGACGCTCTCTCGATAACAATCTGAATTGAGAGAACAGAAATGCAGTGTAACAACACGACTATTTGCGCTTCGTCTCATTTATCAAAGTAACAAATCTGCAGTCAAACACATCTCAAAGGGAGTCTTTAATTATCAAGTCACAAAAATGCGCCGTTTGAGCTCTTTCTTAGCTGTATGTTTTGTTTATTTATTTATTTATTTATTTAATGTTTTATTTGTTAGGGACAGATACAATAAACATAGATGAAAATGTAAAAAAACAATCATCCCATGCATGTATCATAGTGCTTGTAGCCGAAGCTAATTTGCAACACTTGTCCCTAGGAGGGCTTTTATTTATTACAATTACAATAAACAAGTAGTACACAAATTTATAATATAAATACACTAAACATGACTACAGGTTTGTTGATGAAAACAGGTTTGTTTACTGATAGCAGCGCTACATATAGGCATTCAGGTTACTTTTGTGTCTCGTAGGGATGTGTTGGTTTTTCAGGGATGAGAGGATGGAAGATGTGACCTACTCAAACACACCCTCAGGCTACTGTGAAACACACATGCACACACTCTTGAAGGTTTTTTTTTTTTTTATGTGTCTGTCTTCTGCTTTTTTTAGAGAGGAAGATGGCTGAAAGTTCTAAGAAGGCAACAGCAAGGCCCAAACCGCTGTCCATCTTGCGCTCAGTGGAGGAGAAATATACAGCAGCCATGAAAAAACTACAGTTTGGTGAGTCCTGAACTACATATCTCTGCTAGTGTTTGACCCATTTAAGGTTTTTACTGGATAAGAGAGAATATTCTATAATTTAATTATTAAAATGACATTTTACACTCAAGTTCAATGACTTTAAACATTTTATTGAATATTTTAAACAATATATTTCATAAAATTTTGAACATTTTAGGGATGCATAATACATTGGTTACCGACCGATATTAGATCTATTTATTTATCGGTATCGGCCGATATTGAATATATGCAGTTGTACATGCTAATTTCCTCTGTTTTTATTTAGATTGCCTTTGTCTCTCTTAAATTATCCTTTAAAACAGTAATAATAATTTAGTAACACTGTTAATAATAGTTAATAGTATTAATAACTATTAATAACTAATAGTTTTATATCAGCCGTTTGTTGGTTTTTGGCCATAATGTGGCCATAAATAAATAATCTACTTAATCACTGGCCAGAATGATCAAATTTTTACTTTAGTATTGGTGCATTCAGTACTTTCCATTGGTTTTTCTAAACCAAGAATTCACCTTTTTTTCTAATAGTTTTATATCAGCCGTGTTGATTTTTGGCCATAATGTGGCCATAAATAAATAATCTACTTAATCACTGGCCAGAATGATCTAATTTTTACTCTAGTATTGGTGCATTCAGTACTTTCCATTGGTTTTTCTAAACCAAGAATTCACCTTTTTTTTGGGGGGGGCTGACCCATTTGATAAATTATTGTTTTCCCTCAGATGCTAAGTTGATATATAACAACATATTCATTGTATATTTATATATATATTTTTATGTTGGTCACATGGCATACAGGGAAACCTAAAATATTCTAAAATAAATTCAAATGGTTGTAATATTTGTTCTAAATTTGCATTTATATTATTTAAATTATTATTAGCTTTTGATTGACTCATGAACCCCCAGGGGATTGCGAACCCCAGTTTTGGAAACCCTGGTCTAAACCTATTCTCTTTTTTGTTTTTTGTTTTTTTGGGCTTTGTGCCGCATACATAGTTGAATGAATGGATAGAAATTGCTGCTTTTCCTTTCAGCTGATTTTGTTTTCTTTAAGTGCACCAAAAATTTGAAGGAGCACAATGAACTGCAATGGGGAAGATTGTGTTATCTTGCTGGAAGAATAGCTTGTCTGGTTGTCGTTTCTCATCTGTCTTTGCCCTGATTGATGACGAGTTTTGTTCTGCCAAAAATTATTTCGCCCGACCTCAGACGAATGAGGTAATCTCAACTGACGTGACTGTAAACATGTCTGCACTAGCCCAGTGTTTCCCAACCGGGGTGCCGTCTGTCGAGAGCAGGGGTGCAGTGTAAAAAAATTAGAAATTAGCCTACTGATTGCCGCCATTGATGGACAAAAGTTTAAAATAATATTTAAAATATCTGTATGACATTATATTCTGCAGTTCTTCCCTGTTGTACCGAGTATCTATACTTTTCAAATTATCATATCGAAGTTAGAAATTCAAATATTGTGACAAAAT